GAATGCACCTTGAATATGGAACTTAGAAGAGTGAATTAAGGAGGTAGAAAATGTGGAATTTTATAACCTGGCAATGAAAGTGACTGAAACTATATTAGTCAGGCAAAATAAGCTAATCTCTCTAACTACAGGTAAAATAACATTCCAAACACTGAAAAATGTATACAATCAAAACTATACATGGTAGGGGTTTAAGAAACCATTTCCCCTGCTAATTTTTGATGTTTACATGGAATGTTCTTCAAGCAGCAAATAACTTACCAATGATCTTGACAGATTGAAAATGATACATCTCTACCACAACATAAATTAATTCTCTCAGTGGGAAATTGCTAAAATAGGCAAGGTGTCAGAAAGATTTCTTTATGTCTGAAGGAAAGGAAATGATTCCATTTCTTCCAAACATTCTTACATGAAAAATAATAAACTCTCACTTTTAAGCTGTCTCTATTTTCATGGAGTCCTAAGGCACCCGTTACTAATTGGGGCAGAGTTATCTGGTGTTGGACATGAGTCAGTTCCTATTACCTCAGGTATAAAACACACCTAGCTGGAGACTGCCCCCATAATTCATATTATAAACAAATATTATAGAAATACCCCAAAAAGCAGATTGCAGAATTTCACTACATGCTCTTTCATTCCTTAGATTTATAACATAAATATATGCAAAGATCCTGGAAAGTCAATCTTCACAAACTAAAATATAAGGGAAACATGGTGGCCTATGCAAGGAAATGGACTAATGCCCAACATAAATGAACCAACTTATCCTCTGGATGAATGACCTTGACTCTATTTCTAAAGTAATTAGTTGAAAACCTCAGACCAAAGAGATAAACATTTGTTGAATGCTGGTCACACATGTGCTACTACACTTAACTCTTATACAAAATCTATACAATGAGTATCAGTGACTTGCCTAGGTTGACACCATTTGTAAAGGAAGAAGTTCAAGCAGGAACTGTGGTCCATCTACCTCTCACACTTCTCTTGTCCTCAAATGTTCAATTCTGATTGAATACAGGGAGTCAACCATGAATACCCTGAGATGCCCCATAGGAAAAGAGGACCCAGGGCCAGGTGTGGGTGGTGTTAGTGTTCATGCCTGTAATCCCAGCTCTTTGGGAGGCCAAGGCAGGAAGATCACTTGAAGCCAGGAGTTTGAGACCAGCTGGGGCAACATAATGAGACCCCATCTTGACAAAAATTAAAAAAAAAAATAGCTGGGCATGGTAGTGTGCACCTGTAGTCCCAGTTACACAGGAGGCTGAGGTAGATAGAAGGATCGCTTGACCTCAAGAGTTTGAGATTGCAGTGAGACCCTATCTCTCTCTTTTTTTTTTTTGAGTTGGAGTCTCACTCTGTCACCCAGACTGGAGTGCAGTGGCCGCTCCCAGTCACCGCAGCCTCGACCTGCTGGGCTCCAGAGATCTTTCCGCCTCAGCCTTCCAAGTAGCTGGAACTACAGGCGCGCGCTACAATGCCCGGCTAATTTTTTGATTTATTGTAGAGATGAGGTCTCTCCAAGTTGCCCAGGTGGGTCTCAAACCCACGGCCTCAGGAAATCCACTCACCTCAGCCTCCCAAAGCGCGAGATTACAGGCTGAGCCACCGAGCCCGGCAACCCTATCTCTCAAAAGGAAGAGGAAAAAAAAGAAAAGAAAAGAAAAAGAGGTTCCCCTAATCAGAGCAACTTTGAGAAATACTACTGTAGTCACCTTGCATGATGGGAAGTGGATGAAAGGGAAATAAACTGAAAGATGAAATTAACAATTTTACTTATTGGTGAGGGGGTGATGCTAAGGAGATGATGGTGTGATTAGAAGCAGCTTCTATTTGCTCTTAGATTTGGCAAAAATCTTTACTAAGATCCACAATGACCTAGAGTCCCTGCCTCCCTCCTCAGTCTCATCTTATACCTGGCCACTTGGCCAGCTTTCGGCACCTGGGGTTTTTCTCTGTCACAGGACCTTCGCAAAATGTTCCCCTTGGAACACTGTTCCTCCTTCCTCTCTGTACTTACTCAATCCCTATTTATCTTTCAAGAGAAGGTATTCCTGACCGGGTTAAATTTCTCTCTGAATACTCTCATATCACAGAGTTCTTCTATATAGCACTTGTCATGATTACAAGTGCTTATCATGATTATTTGTGTATTTATTTGAATAATGACTATCTACACTCCTACTGAGGGAAGAGAAATATATTCTTTGTTTCTCAGACAGGAAAAAAGAGGGACCTTTCTACCCATGGGGGAGCAGTGACTTAATGGAGCATGTCCTGGGAGAAATGCCTGAGCACACTCAGCTCAGGGCCCAGAGTGCTCTCTGCCTAGCTCACACCCTGGGGCAAGATTCAAAGGGCAGTTTGGGAAATAAGTTGAATTCAAGGAAGGCTTACTAAGAAACCCAGTTGTCCCACATCCAAGGTCCATTCTGCAGTTCAGCTTTATACACTAACAGAGCTGATAGTTTGATCTTCATCTCTGACTCCCATTTTGTTTTTTCATCACTTCCACATTTGGGAGAGGAAGACAAGGGTGTTCTTGTTGGCTCCCTAGAATCCCAACATCCTCCACAGCACATAGGAGGCATTCGAAATGCAGTTCTGTTTTCAGTCAAATAAGCAAAATTAGAGAGAATGGTATAATAAATGCCACATACCCATCACTCAGCTTCAGCAATAATAAACACAGCAATCTTATTTCATCTACTCCTCCACCTGACTGAAGTAAACTTAAGACATTGTATCACTTCATCTATACATAACAAATGATAAGGGCTTTAAATGATATATATGAAATGGGGCATCTTGGCTGCTACTTCTGCTAAGACCTTCTGGGGAAAGCATATTTCTCATCTGGGATATTTTTCTTTTTAAATTACCATTTGCACTTTATTTTGCACAAGTAATGTTTTCTTTGGGTGTTTTGGCAGTGACTCTGTGAATTTCAGCCATGTTACCATTTTGCTCCCTAAATTATTAAGAACTATGGACTGTGAGAAGATGGACTGCTTCTCTTCCAGTGTGATTTTGATCATGGACAATTCCAAAGCATTTGAAACTGGGATTAGTTGCCAGGTTGGGCCACCAATCTGGTGGTGAACTTGCATGTCTATCTCAGGGAGATCTGGCTTTCTGAGATGATAGTATTCAGTTCCAGGAGGAGTCTGCCATTCGTCCTCAGTCTTTCCAGATTGTTCCATCCAAGGAAATATGGGACAGTAAGGCGCCAAACAGAACCTGTTGTCTGAATGGGGGAGCCTGCTTGCTGAGGTTATTTTATGCCCGTCCCCCTCTACCTAAGCAACTGGGAGCATGCTGTATGCAAAGAGAGCTGTGGGTCTGTGCCCCAAGATGCCTGGCTGCTCACAAAGTGTTCCCTGTGCAGACCCTGGTATGGGCAGTTCCACTGCTTTCCTTAGACATTTCTACCTGGCTGTGATGGCCATGTAGCAGAGGTACACCTCACCACCGTCTGCTTGTACCACGTTCATGCTAGCTGGCTTTCCTGTACAAAGGTACTACTAATCACATTTGCCTTTTTCTAGGAATACAAGTTTAGATATCATGTAATTTCATGACCAGTAAAGGGTGCTGCTCCAATGTCCTAACTGAAAGGCAATCATTTTTTAGTTGCCTTAAAATAGTGAATAAAATTCCATAATGGTTTCTAACACTTCCTTGAAGTACCAACGACTTCTTACTTCTGCCCTGCCTTCCCCCAAAAAACTGCTTTTAAAAAAAAGGGTCAGCAGAGCTCGGTGGCTCAGCCTGTAATCCCACGCTTTGGGAGGCTGAGGTGAGTGGATTGCTTGAGCCCGTGGGTTCGAGATCTGACTGGGCAACTTGGCGAGACCTCATCTCTACAATAAATCAAAAATTAGCTGGGTGTGGTAGCACACGCCTGTAGTTCCAGCTACTTGGAAGGCTGAGGCGGAAGAATCGCCGGAGCCCAGCAGGCCGAGGCTACGGTGGCCGGGAGCGTCCACTGCACTCCAGTCTGGGCGACAGAGTGAGACTCCAACTCAAAAAAACAAACAAAAAACAGGGTCAGTCACACCTACCTTGTGCCCAAGTTCTAATTTCTTGATACATGTAACTCTACCAAGGTCTTATATTTTCTTTTAAACAACTGAATTTTATCTTCAGATTATTAAAGGCTATCCCTAATGTGGAACTAAGGATAAAGTTTTGAGTGGAGCTGATCAAAGTCAATTAAGAGAGTATCTTTGAAAGGAAAGATGGAGGAGGCAGGAATGCTGAAGTAATAGAAATCGGCATGTGCGCCAGAAAGATGAGGTAGGAAAGGGGAAGCAAATGGGAGATGCAGACTGGAAAAAATAAAATGGATTACTTGACTGATGATTAGGTGGGTGAAGAGAAACAAGTTAAAAGGCTAAATTGAAAGGCAGGTTTCCATTATCTATAAAAGCTTTATATAAGACAAGGACTCCCCTTTGTTCTCAAGACACTGTAAAAACAGTAAGGTCTCCTTGGAAATACAAGATGGCTCAATCAATTATGCTTTCTCCAAACTATGCAATTATTTCAACTGTTGCAGCAAAAGAAAGAAAATGTTCATGATATATTTAGTTGTAAACCTAAACCATGTGATAAAACCATATATTGTAAAGCCCATTTTTAAATTGCCATCATAAAATATGGCATATATATGTGTATGCACAGTATAAATGGGAAATGTATTAACAGTACATCTATAAAACAATGATCACATGCATATTAGCAATAATATATAAATATTTCTTCAATAATGAATAGATGAATGAATCAATATACTCAGACCAATATAGGGTCAAAGAACTGGCAAGTCTAAGTTATCAACTGTCCAGGTCCCCTCCTTCCCCCAGCATATTCATATTCTCTCTCTCTCTCTCTCTCTCTCTCTCTCTCTCTCTCTCTCTCACACACACACACACACACACACACACACACACACACTGTTCCTTCTCAAGGTAGTTGGCCAAGCCACTCACCTGTTGGAGTGCTGCTTCGGAATGAAGAGGAGGGGGTGATGGGTGGGGTCACAGGGGGAGTAAGGCTTCCACTGCTGTGGCGTGGGGGAGTGGACACATTCCCTCGAGACACTGAGCTGGATAGGGTCAGCGAGAGCTTGGGTTGAATCTTCTTCTTTAGGGATTCCTGCTCTCGGCGGGCAGCATCTGTCATGAATCTGAAACAACAAAGGAAAGTCAGGAACCTGGCCACTGATGGAGCATAAGGACCTATGACCATTAGCCTGAGTTTGACAGGTGCTCAATCCTGGGAAAGGAACTTGGTCACTACATAGTGCCAATCTCAAAAACTCACAACAGCTTCCCTTTTCTTATGTAATGAAAATATCTTCTAGGTTGTGATTTTTAAGTTTCCCCAAAGTTGGGCCCATTTCTTCCCTAGGCAAATCCTCCTTGCCAGGAAATATATACACACAGAATCTATCTGCACTTATATATATCTGCACCTACTGTAATGCTTTCAGTTACAAGAGTTCCTCTCTCTTGGGAGGCTCCCCCTCTTTCCCCCCACCCATAGGAAGCCCACCCCTCTTCAAAGTTCCCCACCACTCCTAAGTAGGTAGAGATTGCTTTTTTAATCTGCAGGTTGGTGGTATTTATTGTTTATTCCACTTAACTGCCTACTTAACATATACGGCCACTCTTTATTTGTAGTGCTCTGGATCCTCAAATTGTTAATTGGGTTTTAAAATTTTCTTGGCTAATTGTGATCTTGCCTCCCTCACCTTAAAGGCAAAGATTCTGCAATGCCCCTACAATGCTTCCTAGCACACTGCCAAGTTCACAAAGGAAACATGCACAGAAGGACTACATATATCTGCCCAAACAGATTCAAGAAGAGGGGAAAAGAGTAGTATAAGAAGGATCACCGTTAAAGATCTGTTTACATTCTGATTTTATCACTCATAAAAGGAAAGACAACTCTTCCTGATAGCTTCACTTTGGAAACTTCAAAGCTATTCTTTTAACACTTCTCTTATGTTAGTATTATTCAAACTTTGTCCTTCTTTCACTGTATAACTTAACATTTCATAAATGCATGTAATAGGAGATTCAAAACAATCTATGAGCCAGGCTCGGTGACTCAGCCTGTAATCCCACGCCTTGGGAGGCTGAGGTGAGTGGATTGCCTGAGCCCGTGGGTTCGAGACCCACTCGGGCAACTTGGTGAGACCTCATTCCTACAATAAATCAAAAAATTAGCCGGGCGTGGTAGCACACTCCTATAGTTCCAGTTACTTGGAAGGCTGAGGCGGAAGGATTGCCGGAGCCCAGCAGTTCAAGGCTGCGGTGACCAGGAGCAGCCACTGCACTCCAGTGTGGGCGACAAAGTGAGACTCCAATTTAAAAAAAAAAAACAATCTATGACATGGTATCACTTACCTAAAGAACACCCATCTTTTCGTACTATGGGCAGGCAGACTTTGTCAGTTGCATTTTGAAAATTGCAATGGAAAGAGTAGTCTATTGCAAGTATGAAAGCGTTTACATAATAAAGCAAACACCTGCACCCACTGCCTAGGCTAAGAAACAGAACACTACAGGTCCCCTCAAGTCCTCTCTCTGCCCCTTCCTCATCAATTGTGTTTTGACTATTTCAATACCCCCATAAACTCATTCCATTGCACTAAAACATGGTATTTTACTGAACCCATTTCACATTCTGCCTACAAAATTCCTTAGAATTGCTCTTCACTACACAATAAAGTTTTGGAAGTCGACAGATAGTTCTAATGCCTGGTGAAAGCTTAGAGTCGATTAAACACTCAATGAAACAACAGTAATATTGTTACAGTGTCTTAAAATTTCTGCTTTTATACTTGGAACATGGACGGCACATTTCTTGAATGGTTTCTGCAATGCAATCCAAATATATAAACTGGATTTTATATGTTGAGCTGAACTGTAATAAAGCTACAAGCTTTGCCTTGAGCCCTGAGGCTGTATGCCACAGGGTGGCAATTTAAAAAGAAGAAAGGAATGCAATGCAAAAGAGAATTGTTTGCACCTGGTAGCCAGGTACTCATTTATTTTCAGATGCAAAACTGGTTCTACTGCTCTTAAAACTTTTTTCTTTATAAACCTCTACTAAAAATATAGACTAGCAGGGAATAGCAAAGAACCAGTGCTTTCTTGTATTATTCTAAGTAGAACTGCTAGCTAGCATAGTGCTGAGCTTCTCAAAACAGGGTAAGCAGTGTGCCAGGGAGTGGACAAAATCATAGGATGAACATGCTGCCTCTTCCAGGAAGCCCAACTGCTCTCAGTGGTAGGTAATTCAAACGAGATTTTCAAATGGTAGAATAAACACAGATATGCTATGGGGTAGGAAAAACTCTTATATCTTGCCTTTTAGTTAAGAGCATGCTGTTTGGAGTTCGATTGGCCAGGGTTCAAATCCTGGCCAGGTTATGCACTACGTAATTTGAGGCAAGTTGATAACCCTCTCTAAACCCCAGCTTTATTCTCTGTAAGATGGAAACAACTGGAGGTAAGGAGTGAACATACATATGTTCCCTTTCTGCATGAGGATTTGATCTGTGGTTAAATTTGTCAGCCTGCTAAGTTGGTATGTCAACTGTGTCACTAGGCAACATTGCTTATACGATAAGAATGGCCCCTGACCGGTGAGTTGCAGACCGAAAGGGACTAGGACATCCACACATATTTGATGGTAAGCTAGGTGTCCTGATTTGGGCTTCCTGAGTGTGGTGACTTTGTACCTGTCCTGCATGGGGAACTGGGGAGCTATGCCAGTGGAGTGTTACAAGGGTGTTGACTCCAGCAGGGTACAAGGTCCCTTACTCCAAGGCAACTCCCACCCCGGCCTCTCTGCACATAAACAGACTGCCATGCGTGCTGCCGCAAAGACTCCTGCAGAGGGCGGCCTGCAAAGACTCCTGCAGAGGGCGGCCTGCTGCAGCCCTGCTATAAGCTGTGGCTCTGTCCTCTACCCTTCTGAATGGAGCCAGTGCCCCATGTGGCCCTTGGACATCATAAAAACTGCCTACTTCAGAGGACTGTTGTGAGAATTAAAGGTGACCTGCCCATCAGGTAGCAAGTGGCTCAAAATGCAGAAGTTGTGGTTGTGTCAAGCATTATAAAGTGTTATGTTCTTAATATTTTGTCTGTGTTCCCCAACTCCAAGTTTCTTGAGGATGTGCCCCATATCCATGGCTCTGAAAGCACCTAGTATGGGTCTTATGCAGAGCAGAAACTCCATTTGTGAAAAGACTGACAGGGAATCAGCCCATAAAGACTGACAGGGAATCAGCCCATGATATGACAGGGAATCAGCCCATATCTAGTGTCAGATAGAAATTTTTGCTGAGATAGATGGAGAGAGGGGAAGAGGGGAAGAGGGGAGAGGGAGGGAGACAGACAGGGGGAGAGGAGGGCATGAGGAGAGGAGAGGAGGGGGGGGGAAAGGAAGTGGGGGGGGAAATAAAGCAGGGCAGTTTCTCCATGTCTTCTGTCTGGTTAAAATGTATTAATAACTTATGCTTATTATGAAATAAATACTCTCCTACAGCTCAGACATAAACAATCATCACAACAGTCACCCCTTCACCTTACATGGGTTTGGTCAGCTATAGACAGCAATCTATTTCTGGCTTATATTGTCTAAATGCTTTCTATATGCAAGAACAAGCCACCCACGTTAAAAGCATTAAACATGCCGGGCTCGGTGGCTCAGCCTGTAATCCCGCGCCTTTGGGAGGCTGAGGTG